AAGCGGGTGGCAGGATCAAAAGTACCCTTCATATACACCGCAACGTCTTCTCTCCGAATTATACGAAATAAATTCTTCATTTTGTTTAAAAAAAGAAATAATGATGCTGCCATATTAACATCGTACAATACCGCATCGAAGGCGACGTGTTACACCAACTTATCTGCGTTGTGGAACACAAATTGAGTTGAATTTAATGACAATTAAGCCACATGGACGCGTGACGGGTTAAGTCCGCTTAGTGTCTGTCCGCTGTGGGATCATCGCTTTTGGAATATACGGGACGAGAATTTTGACCGTCGCGTATAACATTTTTTTTTGAGGGCGTCAAGTCTTAATATTACTTTTCCCGATAGAGTGTCTCTTACTGACTGAAAACAACTCCATCCCTACTCGTGCTTAGAGCCGGAGCCCTGGTAACCCGCCAGTTCGTTCACAGTTCTTGAACATTTATTTACTGTGAAGTCAAAGACACCTTGTTTGTTTACACAACACACACTCCTTTGCTCTCTTCGGCAACATTCAAAGGAGTGAAAAATTTGTGACATAAATTCTATGTTATCCTAATTTTTTATGGGATAAATCGGTAAACGATCAGGCAAATCACCTGATGGTAAGCCATCGGCGTCGTCCATGGAGACCTGGAATACCAGAGGCGTTACAAGTGCGTTACCGGCCCTTTGGGATTAGGGATTTGAGGATTGTTGCGGATTCAGGGATTGGAAAAGGGGGCAGTGGTAATTGGGTCTCCTGTAACCTCATTCACACGACGAAACACAACGCAATCGTTGTTTCACGTCGGTTTTCTATGAGGCCGTGGTATCACTCCGGTCGAACCGGCCCATTCGTGCTAAAGGATGGCTCTCCCACACTTGAAATGCTCCTTATTTTTTAAGTACATATCTACTAAAATTGTTTTACTTGCAACACTTTATTGGGTTATTAAAACTACCGTTGCGTTTAATATCGAATAAACGTCTGTATATTTTTTAAAGTAGTTTCACAGGTATTATAACAAAATAAGAAATAAGTGAATTCTTTACATGAATTATAGATATGTAGGTACTTATGTTTGTTTGTAAAACAGTACCTACGTAATTAAATAGTTCTATCACATATTACCAAGTTGTACTTTACCTAATTTTAATGATTTTAGTTTGTATTGTATTAGGTACTCGCAATAATTCATATGTAAGTAAGTCGTTTTAATTTATTAATTTAATTCGTTAAAATAGAAAGCAACATAAATAAATAAGATTAGAAGTATTATTCTATGAAATAAGAATTATCAGCACAATTTAATAAAAATCGTGCTTTCATCCTTATTAATATTGTATTATTTTATTGAAATAAATACTCGCAATACTCCATTAAGCCTCTCTAAATATCTACAAACTTAACATACATAAATTATTAAAAAAAAAATAGGTAGGTATAATACTTTTCCCTACATTCACATTTTTGACCAATAAATCGAACAGTTCAATTCAAATACTACTTCTGTAGCCGAATCACATGCAGAAGGCGTACACACAAATATACAATAGAACATCAAAAAGCTTTAAAACAAATATTCGTTCCACTGACAAATAAAAATCGTCGGTCGCGCTAACAATAGGTCTTGCGCACCGGTAACGCACAGCGAGGAGGCCGGCCTTCATACGCCACGCCCCAAACCCCGCCCCTCTGCGTATGCGCAAGTTAATTCGGATATTGAATTTTTTGAATACGATTGTCTGCGAATATACTAATTTTAATTAAAAATAATTTATGGTGTTGTGATTTTATTACTGGATGCTTGTTGTTTGATTGGGTATGTTATTTAAATGGGTATTTTTTTTGGGATTTTATTTAATAAAATACTAAATACAAAATAATGTTTTAGTAAGTGTCCTGTAATTTTATTTTTGTTTGTTATATTGGTTAAATAAATATTTTAAGTTGTCAATTCATTTACCTACGTTACAATAGGTAATTATTTTTATTTTTAATTAAATAGATATCTAAATTGTCATTTGGATATGAGTGTGACCATGACATGACATATACCAGAAGATCTGATTATCAACACACATAAAATGATTTTTTCTTAAAAATACCTTGTTAATATTAATGACAAAAATAATTTTATTCTCAAATCTATCTACAATTTGCTCCACATTTTATAAAAATATATAGATATCAACATTCATTACTATTTACCTGCATCATATTTTTTTATCTTCACATCGATCATCTAACGACTTCTAGTTACTCTTGCGCATAATTCTAAAAACAACCCCTATTTAAAAATGTCATATGCGCAGCAGTCACGTTGCATGCTGGTAAGTAACACGTTTTTAAATTCCTATAACATACCTAATATAGTTCAAGTGGGATTGCGGTTGGCGGCAGGTGTGTTCAGGTCGTCGACATTTCGTATCATGTGTAGTTGTTAGAAAACAGCTGAAAGCAACTCTGTTCTTTAGGGGTGAAGGTTTAAATTCGTTTGTTGTTGTGCTCGTTTCAGTGTCAAACCTGCGGTCTTCCATGAGGAGGATCCGATATCATAACACCACGGTTGTGGGCAATATCGATCAATTTCATTTGATTATTTTTCGAAAATACCGGCCTGTACGTCGCCGTCGTTTTAATTAAATGCAACTGACGATTTTTGAATCTGATTGGTACAGATGATTTGATACCTCCGTTCGTAGTTTAAAAATATTTCGACTTGATTTTTTTTATTAATTGACTGCCTCGTTGGTCTAGGGAGACTGTCCGGCAAGTGGGTCTCGGGTTCGATTCCCGGGAGGGGCAAAGTATTATTGGGTTTTTAGAAAAAAATCTCAGTTATTACTGAGAATTTTTTGCTATTGCACGGAATCGTGAATTGTGCCCGGTATATGGCAATAGGCTCACCCTCTATTATATGGGACTCATAATATAAATAGTGAAAAGTGGGTGTTACATTGTACAATGGCATAATGTGCACCTCTGCTTACCCCATTTTATGTCACAGCTTCATTAAGATATTTCTTTATCCTGTCCTGTCCAATTGCCATTAGAACTGGCTCTGAATGATAACTAGATTTGGCTAAATGTCAATATTTTTCATGGAGCCATATTCCACGTCCTAATTAATATCATCTGTTCTACATCCTCCTATCTATATAATGATAATGACTTTAACCCATCGTGTCTAAACGTGGATCCACGCGAGACACAATATTTTTTCTATTTTGTTTTATATCGGTATATTCAAGCGGTTAAAAATAAAATCCATATAGAATTAAAATAAGAGTGTGGGAGAGCCATGCTTCGGCACGAATGGGCCGGCTCGACCGGAGTGATACCACGGCCTCACAGAAATCCGACGTGAAGCAACGCTTGCGTTGTGTTTCGTCGTGTGAGTGAGGTTACCGGAAGCCCAATTACCCTCCCCTTCCCCAATCTCCCCAATTCCTGAATCCCCAACGATCCTCAAACCCCTAATCCCCAAAAAGCCGGTAACGCACTTGTAACGTCTCTGGTGTTCCAGGTGTCCATGGGCAACGCCTATTGCTTACGATCAGGTGATCCGTCTGCTCGTTTACCGGCTCATGCCATAAAAAACAGAAGAGATTTTTTACCAAGACTATGCTATAACCATCAGTTACTTAATTGTAAAAATTTAAATTAAACCAATTTATTCAACTTTCGGTTGCTATAAACGTAAAACATGGATGTTGCGTGCGTTTTTCCATGGTACAGACAATGAAGACATTTGAACTTGATGGCATTGTTCAACAATAGCTGAGGTAAGCGTGCGAAAGCTATAAAGCGGTATGAAGTTTTTTATTAAATACATTGACTTGTCATTTAGAAAAGTCATGAACGTAGGTGAAGAGCAATTACTTGTAGGTATTCCGGGTGTAGTACGTGTAATATACTTACGATTACCAATCTATATATTAGTACGATGATTATTAATCTTAGGTACACGAAGTTGTAGATCCTTCTTTTTCATTTGTCGATAATGAAGGTCAGAATCAAATAAATTAAATTAATTAATCACGTTTGAAAGTTAATAATGAAAATTCATATTTATTAACAAATGTAACTTATTATAATAATAATGTGCACATTTGCCTTCACCTTCGGGGATAAAAGGCGTGATGTTATGTATGTGACTTATAACACAGTCAGTTTTTCTCTGCTTAATCAATTAAAATTTTCTCGTCTCAAAGAAGAGTAAGGCTCTCTATTCTTACTTATTTAATAAGCTTTACTATTATAATTATATATTCTGGGTCATTTGTTAAATATAGGAGACGAATTTGTGTTGTTGTGTGAAGAAATATAATGTGTCGAAGAATATGTGAAACAAAATTAACTGTTCTTTCAATTAAAATTGTTAGTTAGAAATAAAGTTGAAGGTCTTTAACGGGACATCTATTAGCTAAAAATTACTTCCAATTTGTTCTTCTACGGAAATCGTCGATACAAATACTGAAGTTTATTAGTCATAAATTATTGCAAATACTAAACCTACATACGATCATAAGTATTTATGCAACCACTAATCAATCTATTAATAGGTTTAGTAAAATATTGGACCGTTATTTTATCTGAAAGCACGCAATAAATCGAAATACTAATAAAATTAGAGCTGCATCCGACACATTCGAGACTTTGACAGAAAAAAATTAATTGGTCCTAAAAAAAAGGTTTGTCTAATAATGTACAGGTGGATCAGGTGCGCGCGCGCCGCACCGCGCTCTACGCCACTCTGACGGGCGGCACACGGTCAAGCAGGTGCCGCCTTTGGAGGGGAGCACCTTACTATACACCTTACAAAATTGCATTTACATCTTCGCGTACCTTGTGTCGTTAAGAATAAGGTTTAGATTAGCTTAGCCTCGGTCAGTTATTTGTTGTAGGGCTCTACTCCTCTCCTTTTTATCGAACAAAAAATGAACTGTAAACGCGATCACGGCCGCGGCTAAGGTCAATGTTAGCGCTTCCTTCAGTGCACGTTCAGAGAAGAGCGCGTGCGCATCCTACCGCGCATGCGCTGTACACTACCCCGCCCAGAGCCGTAATGTAATATTGTACCGAATTACCGGACTTACAACTCTGAACATTATTCGTATCGTTCGCGCATTTTTTCGTTGACTTAGAACAATTTTTTTTCGAGTGCGTGCTACACTAAACAAACTCACGCGCAGTGATTAATACATAACGACATTTCACCGGGCGATCGATCACATACAACCGATATTTCGTTGGCGACATCGTCGACCGATAATCGAACCGACGTCCCGACATTTTTTTTTGTTTTCGTACACTAATTTATTTATCCTCATTAAGTGTGATGGACGAGACCGGTCACATTTTTAAATATAACTCATTTATGTGGTGACCGTGGGTGGAACTTTGTAATAAGACTGTGAATTAAAAGATGGAGACTTTGGTGTTGATTCCTCAAGACTTGAGCCTGGCTTTGAGGCCTGGTGGCGCGAGAGGTCGTGAGGCTTCCGTCAGCGTGTGGACCTCGGCTGAGCTTCCTCGAGGGTCCTTACTGTACCCGTTCCAGGGCACAATAAGGATTGATAAGCTTCATGTTTACTCATACGTTCCGGACCATGATGTAAGTAATATTCAACTATTAAACAAAGTCATTCAACAAAACGCATTGGAAGTTAAAAGTTTTTATTGTAAACATATTTATTTCATTTTGTTTATAAATACTACGGTCAATGGGTTATTAGGGGTGGTTTTATTCTCCCTTTCCATGACACATGTCATGTAATACCTAAGTCTGATATGTTAACTACTTTCTTTGTTATATGTAAACATTGAACATTCTATCATATTATACTGGTAGGGATGTAACATGTTTGAATAGTTCTATAACTTAAATGTTCGGTATTATAATAGTAGACTTTATAGTCAAAATAATTTCATTCATAAAAAATCTTAATCAAGATTTGTTATAATGTTATACTATGATGCGATGAATGAATCTCATATAATATTATGCGTGTAGGTATTAGATGACACCTTTATATTTAGTTTAAAAGCCTAAACTTTTATTTATAGGCTTATTTAAATTATTGAACATAAACTTAAGCAAGAACATTAATAAAAGAAATATAGCATCTGACTTATTTCCTAGATATTTATTTTCATCGAATTTAATATTGTAAACATCAAATGACGGGTTAAATTTAAATATCACGCACATAATTAATTTGAAATTAGACATAATTTATATATAAAAACAAGGAAATAATAATTTATAATTTAAATAAAATTTATTCAAATTAAATTGTTGAACATATACTTTATTCGTCATGGTAGCTTAGGTGTTTGTTAAAAAGATATTGTTTCAAAACTTATGGGAAAATATAATAGTGATACAAAACAAATAAATATAAATTTAATAGTCAGTTGCTTACGTCTTCTTTTCTTGTGAATATAATAATTGGTATAAGATATGAGTTTGAAGTCTATTGTTATGGTAATTCTTATATATTTTTATGTTGAGAAAAATCAGTGAGGTATGAATTCCATTCTGTAGTCCGCTGCGAATACTGCTTTGATTTTTTCTTAAAATTACGTAATTTACTTATAAATACTTTTAATATTGTTATGTAATATTTTACTAAAGGTACACTACGTATTTTTGATAAGTTTTTTTTAAGTACCATAAAACGGGGTGAATACAATTCGAGGGATGAATAGATACAGAAGAGGGGTGAATAAATGTAGGGAAAATATTCTAACATTTATTCACCCCATTCCTGTATCTATTCACCCCTCGAATTCTATTCACCCCTTTTTACCGTTAGTTAAGTAATTTTGCACGACATCAAACGCTTTTAGTTTTAATTTTATCCCATTCTTTATAAAGTTAACAACTTATTGATTACTTCTGTTCATAAATTAACATTCCTAATAGTAAAATATAAAGGCATTTCCTAAAAGGTAAAAACAGATTCACCATATTAAGTTTAAATTGTTTAAGTTCTCAAAATGTAAACTACTACCTACAATCTTAGCTTATCTATCATTTTATCGCAATAGATGCAAATATACCTTTAATTTAAATATTGCATCTGCATTCGATTTAATCCAATTATCATAAAAGGTCCGCATATATTAATATCTAGATAAAATTTAGATATCTAAGAAAATAATCTCTAATTGAAGTATGAACTAAATATATAATGATTTTTGTTTTAAATTGCGAAACTTGAATTCACAGGAATAGAATTTGATATGTACCTACTTACATATAGATATATTTTATTGTATTACAAAATTCTACAAACGATACATGACTATATTTACGACTGCCTCGTTAGCCGAGTGGTCACAAGTGTGACTGCCGGGTAAGGGATCTCGGGTTCGATTCCCGGGTCGGACAAAGTATTACTGGGTTTTTTAAATAATTCTCAGTAGAAGCACGGAGTCTGGAATTGTGCCTGGTATATGCCAATAGGCTCAACCCCTATTACATGGGACTCATAACATAAATAGTGAAAAGTGGGTGTTACATTGTACAGTGGCATAATGTGCACCTCTGCCTACTCCTTCGGGGATTAAAGGCGTGATGTTATGTTATGTTATTTACAACGGTTTTATTGATAACACTGTCTATTGATCTAGCTAGATAGCTACTTGATACATTTTGTTAGTCTCTAGCACCATACTTAGGATAGAAACAATATACCTACTGTCTAATATTTGGAGCAAATGAACTCATTTAATGATTGGATAATTTAATAGTACACTGTCTTGTTGGCGGATTGGTCGCAAGTGCGATTGCCGGGCAAGGGGTTCTGGGGTACTATACTGTAGGTAACTATTACTGGGTTTTAAAAAAATCTCAGTAGTAGCGCGGAATCTGGAATTGGGCCCGGTTATGGCAATAGGTTCACTCCTTATCACATGGGACTCATAATAACATAAATAGTGAAAAGTGGGTGTTACATTGTACAGTGGCATTAAGTGCCGTAATGTGAACCTCTGCCTACCCCTTCGGGAATAAAAGGTGTGATGTTATGTTAACAGTAAATATGATGTAATGTTAGTTATGTTTTAACATAACATCACACCTTTTATCCCCGAAGAGGATTATTCTACTGGCCCCCGATTAAAGCCACGTAGGTACTGGATGATCATTCATCCAGTACCTACGTGGCTGGTTGGTGCCATTTAGTTTGTTTGCTATTCCTCTGGTTTGCAAATGTCTTTTATTAGTACCTACAACCTATACCTATTAACAAAATTACCCCTATTATTTTTTAAAGTAATTTTAGTGTGTAAATATTTTAGTTTTTAGTTATTTGTATTTATAACAGTTATGTCCCCTTCGGGGATAAAAGGCGTGATGTTATGTTATGACAATTTGTTGTTTTTTTTTTGAAAATATCACAATTTATTTTTCTATTTTTAATTGTCAACGGGAATTGAGATGGTGGAGTTTTAAAGCCTTTTACAGTGTAACGATTGCTTTCACGGCTCTTTCAACATCTGATCTTTAACCTGACACGTTCTTATTGACAACGCAAGCAGCCTGCAGTAACAGTCTGTTGTTAAGGAAAAAAATAGTTGCCATCCACTTGCGTTTATAAAACTTTTAATAATAATTTTGTTGTGCTATTTTTGTTTTTATATATTGTAGCTTATTTATTTTATAAGATAATTGACCTGAAGGTATACAGAATTTCACTAACTTACTATGGCTTTTTTTTTAAGGGGGGAAAATCACCGAATGATTGCTCCCGCCTGGGTGAGGCGGGAGGGAGTGTCAGACTCTTACTGACTAAAAACCACCCCGTTCCTTCTCCTGCACGTCGAGTCGGAGCCCCGGTTACCCGTTAGGTTCTCCGCGACTCCGAATCGGCATCGGCCGAACTTACTATGGCTTAAGATACTGCTGTGTTATTGTAGTGATTGCATAAGGGCAACCCGGGTCACGGTCATAGGCAGTGAAGGAACATCGCGGTGTTTTAGCTGGTATAAGTCCCGCACGCCACCTCGTCGTCCCCATGACGCGGGAAGTCCATGAGGATTTCCGTCGCGACAGAAAAAAAAACTGCTGTGTTATACTCTTTAGGTGTCGCAAGATCAGGTTAAGAGACTATATTTGCTGGAGATCAAACAGCAGTGTTTTCTGAAAATCCATAAGCTGCGACCTCCAAACTGCCTTACAAGCGTGGATTTTTAAACAAACTTATCTTGAGTAATGGAGGTTTATCGTGATACTATTAGATGACAACAACAACATAACATCACGACTTTTATTCCAGATGGGGTAGGCAAAGGTGTACTTTTCACTATTTATGTTAAGAGTCCCATGTAGTGGGGGGTAAGCCTATTGCCATATACCGGGCACAATTCCAGACTACGTGCTACCAATGAGATTTTTTAAAACCCAGTAATACGTTACCCGACCCGGGAATCGAACCCGAGACTCCTTGCCGGCTGTCACACTTGTGACCACTCGGCCAACGAGGCAGTCATTTAAGATAATATAATTTATTATTATTCTTATTTTTTAAATCTCTTGTAATGCCTCCCTAAGTTATTGCGTACAAATTATGCCATACGGAAATCAAGCTCAGGATCAATCATTAGTGTACGAACGTGTAATAATGATCATACTATTATTAAGACGACTTAATAGAGCATTGTCAACGGTTACAAAACTAGACATAATTGAATAAGCTGCAACATGCAGTGAACAGGGAAACAGTAAATTATAATTCTAATAAATATTTCTCAAGTTTGCAAGTATATTGTAAGACCGTTACATACCTTCAGTTAAACTATCATCACCAGCATCATCAACAGCCGAAAGACGTCTACTGTTGGACAAAGGCGTCCCCTTTGATCCTCTACGTCAAACGACAACGCGCCACTTGCATCCACTGGCTCCCCGCAACTCTCGGTTCCAACCCAAATTTTTTTACCAGCAATTTGTTATCAATAAGCGAGCTGAGCTAATAGCTAAGGAATTAAAAAAAAAACAATAATGACTTAGTTAAATATTTATTCAACTCCAGATTAAATTGAGAACTATAATCGTATACTCAATTGTCATCTTAAATTACAATTGATTTGATTACCATTGTCTAGCAACATTAGCAGATAAGTTTAAACTGAGGAATAACTTTGAATATTTGACAATTCTTCCATGCTAAACACTGTCGAATGTCAATTTTATTATTCAGTTAAGAATTAACTGATTATTGAAAAATCGGCCCTTAGACCAATATGTTTGTCGCGGAGAACCTAACGGGTAACCGGGGCTCCAGCTCGACGTGCAGGAGAAGGAACGGAGTGGTTTTTAGTCAATAAGAGTCTGACACTCCCTCCCGCCTCACCCAGGCGGGAGCAGTCATTCGATGATTTCCCCCCTTAAAAAAAGACTACTATGTTTACAGAAAATTCTATCTAATCCTCGTATCTTCTGGTTACGAAGTGCTAAGTTCACAATAACGCTATCAACCAAAACAGTTATCATAGATAATAATAAGTACCTACCCATATAATATTAAACAAATAAAAAAATAAATACACCATCAAACCAGCTACCTGTACCTACATTAACAAAACCACGGAGTATCCAGTTAGAAG